AGGAGGTGGGAATGGGGGGTAGGCTGGGGGTAAGGGGAAGGGGTGGGAGGGGGGAGAATAGGGGAACCCGTGGCTGATATGTAGAACTGAATGGTTTTGTAAAATAAAATAAAATTTTTAAAAAAAAGGGGGAAAAAAAAAAGGTGTGCACCTTATCACACCTCGCCAGAGAACAATCTTTAATTATAAAAGGGAAGAAAGGCAAACAAACCACCAAATCCCAAAACCCAGAAAACCATTCAGACATCCATCTATCCACCCATCCACCCATCCATCTTTTTAAGATTTATTTTGTGTGTGTGTTATGTGAGTGTACATGCAGGTGCCTGTGGAGGCCGGAAGAGGGCATCAGATCTCAGAGCTAGAGTTAACTGGCGGTTGTAAGCCACCAGATATGGTTGCTTGTATGGTTGCTCTAGCTTACTTATATGAAGGAGATTTCCTCCTCAAGTACAAGTGAAATACAGTATTGAGATGGTAGCTTACTTATATGAAGGAGATTTCCTCCTCAAGTACAAGTGAAATACAGTATTGAGATGGTCACAAACAACAGGTCTACCTGTACTGGAATCCTGCAGCAAAGGTGCAGCTGTAGTGCCAAGACCGTGTATGAGATTTCCAAGTTCTTGTAATGCACAAACCAGCGTGTGTTGGCTGGCTGCTACATCCGTGGAACTGAGACGGGTTTCCAAATTACCATCACTCAATACAGCATCTGGAGAAACACAGGAATTACTGATGCACCACTTTTATAAACATGTATCATAGGAAGTCAGTGTTAGGAGCAGAAAAATGTAAGGGCCAAGGTGAATACAGTACATCCACTTGATCAATAGGAAACCCTTGGGTGGTAAGTGGAATGTTTCAATTCAAAATTGCACAGAGAATGAACTGACCTTGAACTAAGATATATCTTGAAAAATATTTTAGATCATTAATTTTATTATCATATGCATATGAGCATTTTGCCTGTATGCATGTATGTGCAACACACATGTGCTTGGTGCCTGAGGTCAGATGAAGGTGTGAGATCCCTTGGGACTGGAGTAACAGACAGTTATGAGTCAACACGTGGGTGCTGGGAATTGAATCAAGGTCCTCTGTCGGAACAACAAGTACTCTTAACCACTGAGCCAACTCTCTAGCCCCTGAACTAAGATTCAATTCAAGCAACATGGTCAGATCCCTTGTTACTCTGTCAGCTATGGACAATGAGAAAGAAAACTCTGGATTAACATTTCTCCATCTTTGAGCTAAGACCAAGTGAAAGAATACTCAGAGTGGTCAGAGTGAACAATATATAACCTGAAATCTCCTGTTTAAAAACAGCAATCTTAAACTTGTATAGGAACCATAACATGAATTCTGAGGAACTGTCATGACCAGCTTTAAGATTTTTGTTATGGGTCTGGAGAGGTGATTGGTTCAGTGGTTAAAAGCATTAGCTGCTCTTCCAGAGGACTTGGTTCCCAGCACCCAAGTTGGGTGGTTCACAACAATCAGGGGATCTGATGCCCTCTTCTGGCCTCTTTGGGCACTCAACATGCATGTGTGTATACAGCACACATGAACATGGCCAGACATACACATGAATAAATAATAAACTTAAAAAGGTATTTTTGTTCATATAGTAATACAGCAGGATGGCTTTTTCAAAGGGGTGGTTCTGACACTGGTAAGCCAGACTCTTTCAGTAGATCCATACCCATAACTTTCTTCAGCTTCCAGATGGTCTGGCAAATATCCTTTGCAGCAGCAATCTGAGCCTTTTCTCCAAGAAGGCCTCCTATGGTGGCTCGAAGGATAAATGAAACACACCGGCGACAGCAGACAGCATCAATCTGGGTTTGAGTGGCTTTAGAATTCAACTGTGATACAAGGCTTAGGACATGAGAAAGAAAGACAGCAAAGTTCTTCTCTAGCCAAGCTCCTCCTAATGTTGAAACAAATACCACGTAAGCCTAGAAAGAAAGCAATTTCATCTTCAAAATTCAATCATTTCAGCTGCAAATCAATTTTTTTTTGTTGTTCACAAAAACATGCAGAATTTCCCCTACACACTGTATCCCTTTCTGACTTAGTCTTGGTACACGTTAGTGCAGCGTTAGTTCTTGTTTGTTTGTGGCAAGACTGAAGCTACAGCCTGTCGATGCAGACTCCACCCATGCTGCACCTCTGTTCTACTTTGGTCAGGCTCTGCTGAATGTTCAGCAGAGAGATACTGCCAGATATGTTGTAAAATGTGTCCCTGGCTCCTGGGAACAAAGGCTTGAAGCCACTGAACCTTCTGAACAAGCAAGCCAAATTCAGATACATGAGCACAAAGTCTATTAGCTACCCTCCAATACCGTAACCCCAAAGACTGTTCTAGACACTAAGGAGTTTGCAGTCATCTTGCCGTTCTTTATCCCCACGAATGCTAACGGTTTCTTACTGCAGATGCAAAGACAGCAGTCTTCTCAAGCAATATGGAGAAGGAAACAGTATACAGTCACACTGGGGAGCTCTCCCATACACATTCACGAACTAGTCATACAGCACAATCCATCAGGAAGCAGGTGGGTTTTTTGTTTATTTTAAATTGTTCATTTAAAATCTTCAGCATGCACTGACTTCCTTTTTGGCTGGACTTAGTAAATGTTAGGGTCTGCCCCGGATCTTGTACATGGGAGGCGTGCTCTGCTGGGTGAGCTTCACCTCCAGTCCAGCACCAACGTCCCTAAAGCACTGCCTGAGCTGAATCCTAACACTTAGGAAAAAGATGGCTTAGGAGGAGCATGCAGTGGCCTTGCATTGTTTGACTCTAAGAAACTTTTCCAAGAGTTTTGCTTTAAAATTTGTGTTTAGGACGGAAAATTACACAGTAAAAACATAGACTGCATGCCATAATCTTTTGTAGAAGTTAAAATCTTTTAAGATGTTATATAACACATTAAATAATAAGTACTAATATTTAAGTTGTACTGCATGAGTGTACATAAACACAGTGGAAGACATGTTAAGCCATAGACATACGACAGTACCAGGAAAGGAAAAACTGATTATGATTTAAAGGAAATCAGCAAAACCCCTTACTAAAAATTAAAACCACATTTGGGTTACAAGAGTCTCTTAACGTGTAACCTTGTTTTCAAAAAATACTTTAGCTTCACCATATCTATCTGTAAACAGGAGCATAACTAGCAACCTTGCACTGTGGAGTCAGACACTAAAACTTTCACTACAGGCCAGTGGGATTTGCCCGTAGGTCACCGATTTGTGATTCCGACCTGAGTAACTCCAACCCGAACGTCCCTGCTGACTGAACTGCTTCCTTTCAGCATATCTCCACTGGCTCGAAGGAATCCTGAACTCCCACGCAGAAAGCCTGTTCCCAGCAATTCCAGAACTTCCTCCAGAGAGACTCTGCGAGCACTTTGCCTCGAGGCTGCCACGACAAAGAACAAAACAGCAATTCATAGTTTGCAGACCACACTTTAGTGCTGGAGACCCATCCGGGGACCGGGCATGCTAAGCGCATGCTCTGCTGCTGAGCTACACCTCCAGCCACATTTATACATGGTCTCTATTTGCCAAAAGCAAGCATACTGACAGAAATAGCAAAAATCCAAATGCAGTGGAAAACCACAGGAGATTCTATTATTAGACAAAAGAAGTCACGTGACGATTTAATGGTCCATCAGAATGAGCCCCAGAAGGGCTGGAGATGTACCGTGCAGTAGTACAATGCTTGCCTAGAACACACAGAGCTGTAGGTTCAATCCTTAGCCCCCAGGAAAAAGGAGTCGGAAATGCCCTTGCACAGACATCTTCAAGTCCACTCCACTTCATGACCCTGTTCCCCTGCTTTCTTTCCTCAAAGAAACGAAAAGGCAAACACACTCTCAAAATAAGAGAAAACATAAACAAAACAAAATGCGCCATCACAAACAGAAACGCAACAACACTTTGAAGATCTGAAACACTAAAGAGGGCTGGAGAGACGGCACACAATGCTGTAGCAGGGAACCCGAGTGGTTCCCAGCATGCACTTCAGGTGGCTGGAACTTCAGCTCCAAGAGATCCAAAGTCTCTGCAGGAACTGCACTCATAGGCACAAACTCCCATACATATACAACACACAGTTAAAAAGAAATTTAAAATCTTAAAAAAACAGAAATACTGAAGAAATTAAAACACGAAGTTTTCCAAATGTTCTATAACTTTTAATGAAATTTACATAAAGTAACCATCATGTTTTCCTGTTAAAATTTCTCAACTGGCAAGTATAACTTTTATTATTCTGTCAGTCTCTTAAATAAAATCTTAGTATCATTACAACTACTAAGATTGGCTCTTAGGCTTTAACTGTTAAAAGGCCAGTTAGGGCAGGAGATTAAGACTGTCTTTTGTCTAATATTTCTGAATTTCTCATTATGAACATCTTGAAAATAAAACCTTAAAAAAAGACCCACGTTTCTCTTACCATCTGAAAACCAGTGGCAAAAAGCTCAGATCCCATAAACTCAAGTCATACAGTAGCAGAGAAATTAACTTTCATTAAAATCTACTCTAGAGTCTAAAGAAGAGGAAACTACCCAAAAAACAAGAATCTGCTGGATCCTGGAGAAACATTAGTGAACAGTGCAAACCTCTTCCCTGTGTCCACATCCCAGGAAGGTGAACAGTGAACATCGGGGCACAATCGGCAGTGCACTGGACAGAGACTGGCACAGAGCAGGGGGGCACTGGGTGATGCAGGGGGTTTCAGAGAGACTCACGGGGAGGGCGATGGGAACACGGTCCGAGTGCAGGGACCAGGCATGTGTGCGTCTGGAAACAGTGTCTGGGCCTTTTCTTTCAAAAAGGCTTCAAAGAGCAATGCTGAGTGCCCCTGAGTTGGAGTAGAGTGGTGTGGATGCAGCCATTACGGTCAGCTGATAGACAGGCCAGGGGAGAAGACGGAGAGAGCATGGCGTGGAGAGAGAGAGAATACAACGACCTTGTAGGTCATCACAGTAAAGGAGAGAGCCAAAGGGACCGCCAGGAGAAGGGGAGGTAAAATCTGTTCTTCTGGTTCTCTGGCGACAACAGAGTACAGAGGGGCACAGTTGGAGATGGGGCCACTAAAGTGACTGTAAAGTCAAGCTAAGGGACCAAGGGGAATCAGGGAAGGGGAGTGTGAGTCTCAGAAGATTACATCTGGGGTGTTCTGATTTTTAAAAATCTCTCAAATTACAAAAATCAAAAAGAAAGAAAGAAAGGAAAGCTGCAGGAGGGTACAGTCAACTCCCAAACACTTTGTACCTGGGCTCCTCATAGTTCATTCTCTCTCATTTTGAAGACTAGATTTTGGCCAGTTGTTTCATAGACTGGCTCTGATTTCAATGAGTCTGGCATTTTCTCAGAGTTCTGGCAGAGAACCACCTAATTGATACAGTTCCTCTCTCTCAGTAGTTCAGCTTTGAACATCCGAGTAAGGCCAGCCTTCTCTACCTATCTGCCATGAGATTACTTGAAAGCACTAGACAACTTCCACCCACAATCCACCGGGAACTCCTGTGTAGACTGTTACTGCAACTGCACCCAGGTCCTTTCCATCCTCCTCCTTCTGTATCGGCCGGCCGCCATGCCACCATGCCGCCATGTGAAAGCAGCTCTTCCCTTCGCCCAATCTCCCTAGACTCAGCATGGACACACAGATGCCTTTACTCAACAGGTTATAAAGGTTTCTGTCATTTTGATAATAACCTGCCCTGCATCTGACCAGGAGGCATCTCTCTGCAATACAGAGGCTCCCTGGTTTTGGCACAAGATGCTCAAGGCTCATCTTGAACTTTCTATTCTCCACCCCAGAACTGAGCATGCTCCAGACCCTCAACTGGATATACTTATAGCTCAGCTGGACAGATGCTAAGTGCCAGAGGAGTCACAGGAAACCCATGAATAAGTACCCAGAAGGAAGGCTCCACTCTGGGGATGTAGTGCTTGGCTAGCATACACAAAGGCTTGGGTTTTATCCCTGGTGTGTATAAACTGAATATGGTGGGGCAAACCCACAAATCCCAAGGGAAAAAAATAAAACTAGAAGCACTGTAATGATACAGCCATCCCGTTTGTGAATATTTACTTAAGAGAACTGAAACCGGGTTTCCAAAGTATAATGGCTAATCTTGGTTGTCAACTGGTCTACAACTGGAATGAACTAAAACCCAAGCAGCTGGGCACACTTGTGATGTGGAATATTTCTTTACACTGTGTGAATATATGTCATTATGATTGGTTTAATAAACAAGCTGATTGGCCACTAGCTGAACAGAGTAAGGTTAGGAGGCAAAGCCAAACTCAGAATGCTGGGGGGAAGAATGGGGGAGTCCAGAATCATCAGATGAAGCAAGATGGGCATGCTGTACTGAGAAAAGGTATCAAGCCATGTGGCAAAGTGTAGATAAGAAATATGGGTTAATTTAAATGAAAGAGTCAGCTAATAACAAGCCTGAGCTATTGGCCGAGCATTTGTAATTAATATAAGCCTCAATGTGTTTATTTGGGAGCAGCTGGAGGGATAGGAAAACTTTGGCTACACTGTTAGAATTTTTCTTGTTGGGATTTTTTTTTTTTTTTTTTTTTTTTTAAAGATTTATTTATTTATTATGTATACAGAAGAGGGCGCCAGATCTCATTACAGATGGTTGTGAGCCACCATGTGGGTGCTGGGAATTGAACTCAGAACCTCTGGAAGAGCAGTCGGTGCTCTTAACCACTGAGCCATCTCTCCAGCCCCTCTTGTTGGGATTTTTTGAGGTGGAACACCCACCCTAAATCTAGGCCAGATCTTTGGTGAAAGCCGACATAAAAAAAAAAAAAAAAAAAAAAAAAAAAAACACTGAAAAAGGAAACTGTTGCTTTCTGTCTGTCTGTCCTCATTCTTACTGGCAAGATCATCTGTTCTGTTGCTGAGCCATTTCCCTCACTGCTGTTAGAACCTTCAGGACTCCAGCGTGGACTAAAATCTGGCAGCTCTCTAGGACCTTCCATGGGACTCTAATGCCAGATTAGGACTACTGAGACAGCCAGTCTTGTGGACCAAACAGCTACCAGGGCCTTGGCATTTCTGTCAGGAGACAGCCATTATTGAACTACTTGGACCACAGCCTGTAAGCCATTCTAATATATATGTTTATTCTATCACGTCTATTCCTTTAGAGACCTGACTGATATACAGAGAGGTTAGTACTCTCGTATTTACTGCAATACTATTCTCAATAGCTAGGATACATGTGGGAACAATCTAAATGACCATCAACAGGTAAATCAGACATAGCATATGCACACAACAGAATAATACTGACTCTTTAAAAAAAAGGAATTATGGAATGAATGTAAGAGAAAACATGGATAGATTTCAAGAACATCGTATAAGAAGTGAGCTAAGCTGTGGAAGCTACTCAGTTGGTAAAGTGCTTTCTTCAAGGGCACACAGCCCTGGGTTTGATCCCCAGCACTGCATGGAACTGGAATGCTGGCCACGCCTGTGATTCCAACACTCGGAGGTGATGGAAGAGAATCAGGTGTTCAAGATGATCCTCGACTGCATTACAAGTTCAAGGCTGGCCTGGGATACTCTCAATGAAACAAAATAAAAAACATAACACTACTATGACTTGTAGATCACCTTGTAGCTACACAACAAGGTAGAATTTAAAGATGCAAAATGAGTCTCCAACAAGAGTAGGACCAAGTTTCACTGAGAATACAGCGGATTCTTCCTTATTTCATTGCTTCTACAGGAGACACAGGTTAAATACTGTGCACTTTTATCATGAAATTCTACATTGTGCTTTTCAGTCCATCAGTATAATACTGCAAAGACAATCTGTGGAGGTATGTAATGACATTTTTAAGAGAGTTTGAATAAACATAGGTTATAATCTCAATTTCTTTGGTGACTAAGTTTTTTTTACCTTTTAAATGCAATTCTTTTTTTCCTGGTTTGGGGTGTGTGTGTGTGTGTGTGTGTGTGTGTGTGTGTGTGTGTGTGTGTTCTTCCCAGTTCAGCCCGCTTGACCCCCTCCAAATAAGAGCAACTGAGTGAATCACAAGACTATGAAGTTTCCTGTCATGACTTTTAGGGCTGTGGGTCTCCCGTGGAGAAGGAGAAGGTTGGACCAAAGGTCTGCTACTGTTCCTCCGGGATCCTAACACGCTGTCACTTCTGAGCTCTCTCACCCTAGTTGAGGAGCAATGTTCTAGAGGAACAGGAGACTCTTCCTCTAGATAGCAATGCATCACTTCTACAGTAATGGTTTTCAAATAATGTACACACAAGTTACATGAAACGACTGAAGTAAGAATTTAGGTGGGCTTTAGGATTCTGCACATCTTAAAACAGCTCAGGCTATGCCTTCTGGTCTGAGGGTATCTGAGCCAAGATCAAGAGAAGTTACGTTTTCATTTGTGTGAGCTTTTTATCTTGGAGGATACAAGGACAAAGTTTTCAGTTATCCGTCAGTGCTTTGCATATACTGAATATGGAATCTTTGTTTTTTTTGTTTTTTTTTTTTTTTTTGGTTTTTCAAGACAGGGTTTCTCTGTGTAGCTTTGTGCCTTTCCTGGAACTCACATGGTAGCCCAGGCTGGCCTCGAACTCACAGAGATCCACCGGGCTCTGCCTCCCGAGTGCTGGGATTAAAGGCGTGCGCCACCA